TAAAACTGTTAATATGCTACTTTTTCCTCTTCAAATGCCTTGACAAGACTTAATCCAAAGAACTAAGACTTAAAAGTGGTTAGAACAGTTATTTCTTCATGTAGTCTACACTGAAATGGAGCAAAGGATCATGGTCTATGTAGTTCCCTCTGTCTTTTTTTAGCTTTTGATGCACCATTGTGAGAACTTTGACGATACAATATCACAATTTTTCAGTTATTTTTACATCCCTAATTTTGAGTTTTGGAGATGTAGACAGATTAATAAAGGATTACTCCAACATGTATTAATGAAACAAAACACAGCCCAGGTCTGTTTATGAGGAGGCAACAACATTATAACAAGGTTTGAAGCTCACAAGTGTCAATTTTGCATAACATCAAACCTTTTAAATCATTAGGAAAAGATGATGCCCCATACACAGAGAGAACATTCAAACTCCACACAGACTTCCTGCTACTTTATGGAAATTAAACTTGTGACCTCCTTTCTTTGCCGTGAAGTGAGAACACTTAGCCACAACAGAACAAAAGTGTAACTGATGAAGTGATTGCGTGCAGTAGCTGACCCGGGCCTTGTAGTTCAAAGTGGAGTTTGCGTGTTCTACCTGTGTTTGTGTGTTTTTCCCTTAAGATATAAAGAAGGGTCCCTGTGTCTTTCAAGTTATAGGTGTGTTAACATGTTTTAATCTTTTACGTCTTTACTTTCTCAACAGAACAAAAGTGTAAATGATGAAGTGATTGCGTGCACCAGCTGACCCGGGCTGTGCAGAAAGCATGGCGGTTCATATGAGGACGGCTCTTGACATGGCTGGAACACGAATGAGGCAGAAGTGATTAGGCTTCACTGTAGCACCATTGTGGACACTCTAATCCTCATTATGTATCCCAGTGTGCGTGTTATAGACTGTGCACTGTAAAAAACATGCAATGTCAGAGTCATTAGCATACTCATTTTGTTTGGGGTCTTTTCTTGAAGGTGTTATATTACTCAAAATTGACTCTTGTGAGCTTTAAGTCATGTTATAATGTTTAACTTCCTCAACAACATGTCTGGAATTGTGTTTTGTTTCATGTTTGAGTACCACATGACATCACAAGGTAGACTAGAGTGTTTTCCGTTTGAGAGAAGAACAAAGCCTAAATATGCAGGATTTGTGTGTTAAACGTGTGAATGAAAACAAACTCCAGGTATGTTTTCGATGAGGAAACAACATTATAACAGAAATCAGAAAATAATGTAATATGGACCTTTTCAGTAGAGTTTGCAAGTTCCCCCAGTGTCTGTCTGGAATTTTGGACATAGGACCTAATTTCCTAGTGAGCCAGAGTGTTGGAGACGTGTGGAGATACTTTTTGAAATATTCCATCCAGTCCTTGTATTTGCAGAGGTCGCTGGTGCTAGGCTAGTGCATGTCAATGGCCATAGTTAGCCTGACACCAAAAACAGTCTTACCCACTCCACAAAACACCTGAAGAAAATCTATTATTACACCAGACTGTCGATGTGAATGTCTGTGTTGATGGAATAGATTTAGAAGTAAAAACAACTTTGCATTTGAAGGATTTATGTCTGAGCATCAGCAGTGAGTTCAAAACTTGGCAGCAATGGACTGATATCACCTAACACAGGGGTCTCCAACCTTCTTCCTCCAGCGAGCTACTTTTAGAAAGGGAAAATACCAGAGCGCTACTAGTTTTAGCAGTCACAAGAAATTGAGCATATAAAATAGCCACTGTAAGCCCTAGATGACGTACAGTTAGATACCTATATAACATGAACTGTTATCCATTTATTAGGGTAGAAAGTTAAGCACCAAAATGATACATGTTAAAAAAGGAATTTAATTAATCAAAATTGACTTATTCAGCACAATATGTGTAATCTAGAAATCCCTTAGCGAGCTACTTGGAAGGCCACGGAGAGCTACCAGTAGCTCCTGAGCTACAGGTTGGAGATCCCTGACCTAGCACCTATCTTAACAGTAATGTAAAATTCTGCTGCTGCTGAGAAAATAGTCCCTCAACATGTGACAATTCATGTGATGCAAGGTTAGTTTTTTTTCAAACATTCTAGCGACACAGACATTTACATGGACAGTCTGGTGTAATAATAGATTTGTTTCAGGTGTTTTGTGGAGTGGGTAAGACTGTTTTTAGTGGCAGGAGAACTATGGTCCATTGACATGCACTAGTCTAGCACCAGTGACCTCTGCAAATACAAGGACTGGATGGAATATTTTTTTTAAAAAGTGTCTCCATACATCTCCAACACTCCAAATGAGGTCCTATGTCCAAAATTCCGGACTGTCCCCCTAAAGATTGTAATGTGAAAACATGCTATCACATTACATATTCAAATCACCATGTTACCTTTTATTGTTTGGAAAATGCTATACAGGCTGGAATTATTGACATGCTTAATCTGTTTCATTTTTTTTTTTTTTTTTTTTTTTTTTATGCTCTGAGTGTCCCCACCCATTGCTTTATGCTCACAGTCACTCCCCCTTCAGAGTACTTTCACAACACAATCATTAATGCACTCACTAATGAAACAACTGCACATTGCATCAGGTTTGTGAAGTTATAGTGTATTATTTAAATTACTGAAACATACATGGATGACATCTAAAACCTCTTCAGGCATATTTTGATGAGAGAATGTTATAACATGGTAGAAAGCTAAAAAGCTGATTTGGCCACTTTAAGAGTTTTTCAAAGTGAGGTTTTCTTTGTATTGGAGGAACATCTTCCAGTTTGATCTTGCATTTCATGTTTCCTAACACATCTATTCATTTATTCATTTATTAATTTACCAATTTATAAGGATGTAAAGATATCCAAATCTCACGGTACGATATTATCACGAAATGAAACTCACACTTTTAAAATACTTTGACAAGATTTTGGTCTGAATTATTACTGTCATAATCCCAAGAATTCAATTCACAAACATATTTCTTCATGTTGGCTGCACTGAAATGAATCATGGGATATGTAGTTCCCTATGTTTAGAAGCTGTTGCTACTATAAAACCATGCATTTAAGCAAAGGAACTTGTGATTCGATATATTGTGACAGCCCATGATATTATTGTGAGACTCTTGATAATACAATATCATAATATTTCATCCCTACTAGTTTATCAATGTATTCATTTATTGATTTATTCATTTATTTGTAGGTGAAGTCACAGGGCTCCAGGTCAAGTCCAAGTTGAGTCATTGGTCTGTGTGCACATCTCAGGTCATCAAAGTCTGACTCTCTCTCAAAGTCTGACTCCCTTTAAGTTCCAGCTAAGTCCACTCCTCTGGCCTTATCCTCCCATTGGTAAGTCCATCACATGAAACTATTTAAACATGATTGTTTGATTAAGTGATTAAGAGCCATTTTCCTGCTTAAATAAAGCTTACTAAAATAAAATAAAATAAAAAAGACAATTTTCTAAAATAAATTACACATTACACACACAATGACACATAAAAAATCCTAGAAGTCATTCACCAAAGACCATAATTATGTAACTTATAAAAATGAATTTATACTATTGGTTTAATACAATATAAAACTCAAGAGTATGACCACTATGAAGCCTGATTAAAGCCCCAGTATGTACGTTTAATAAAAGTATGTTTTTGTAGTATTTATAGCACTGAAAAACACAGAAAAACTCTTTACTCTGAGCGATCTTACATCTCCACAAACCTGACTCTACTTGACCTGCTTGTTTCCATGAAAATGTTGCTTCTTTGGCTATAATATGATAATACTCTCTATCTTCATGGCCAATGTTCCAGAGTGTGTTTTTAACCTTTTGATGCCATGGAATCAGGCAGGTGACTCTCCACCTCCAGTCACACACTAGGCTAACCAGCTATGTGGTGACTAACGCCCAAAACATGTTTATTTTTCCAGTCCAAAAAACACACTTGAAGGTGCATTGTGTAACTTTTCTGGTGGAGGGTCCATCACCTCTTTGTCTTCGTGGAGATGTCATTGCTTTGTCTCGACTGTTTCATGTAAAGATGATCTATCCCAAGAGAGACAACTTTAGGCTACAGTATAGGTCAGATCTCTGGAGAGGCATCCCTGTTCACAAAGAGAATGATTGTATTTTTGAGCTATAAAAACGCCCATAATGGATAGATGCTAGATAAATGTGTTTAATGTCACACCAAGGAACATTCCAGACGAAGCAATAACATCTCCATGACAACAAGCGAGTGACAGACCCTCCACCAGAAAGACTGTGCAATGCATCTTTAAAATATGATGAAAGTGTTTAGTAAAGTTGTTGCCTTATAAAAAAAATAAATAAATGAATACAATACTGATTTGTTTGTCACTGTGTGCTGTCTCTGTTTTTAATGTGCTCTGGACCTTGTGTGTCTGAAATAAAGATTTGGCGATGATAGAAGTTGGTTGGCACGTACTGTAGCTGATCTGCCCTCCCTGCAAGCTGCCAAACTTTTTTTTTTTTTTTTTTTTTCCAGAAAGTCTATGCAAAGAATGAATGGGAAATTTCCAGAACCAAGTGGTGGGTGGTCACTATGTAATAAGCATGTTCTCCATCTATGCCAAACCCCAAAGCTGAGTGGCCTCTTCTCTGGTGGAGTGTCTTCTACTTACTTGTCTCCATGGAGATGTTATTGCTTTGCCTGGAATGTTCCATGGTATGACATTAAACATATCCATCTTGCATTTACTCATTATGTGTGTTTCTACTGCTCAAAAATACAATAATCTCTTCTGTGGGTAGGGACGACTCTCCCCAGATCTGAGCTGTAATTTGCTCGTCTCCCTCGTGATGGATAGTTTTACTCTATACTGTGGAACATTCTAGACAAAGCGATATTATTTCCATTGAGACAAGCACTAGAAATGTTGAAACCTCTAAGTTTTTGGAATGTGCAGTGCTCAAATAATGATAATATTCTGAGTTTAAGCCTTTTCAAAGTGGAATTATCTGCTCCCTCATTTGAAAGAAAAAAAGAACGAAAATGCCATACTGTGTTCTGACATTTATTAAAAACGTTTGTTCATTTTTACATGGACTCAAATGCGTTACATCATTTGGCAGTCTGGTTTTCGTCGTATATTCCTCTCTCTCTCCAAAGCTGCTGGGGCACTGTGCTCATACTGAGCCCACTCCAGTGTCAGAGAAAACATCCGTAACAGTTTTCTGGCATTTGCCTTTTAAAAACTGAACTTCAAAAAGACACCAGAGCGGAGGTACTGGCACACTGCAAAAACAATTACTTCTACACAGTAAAATGACTTTTTAAAAATCTTGTTTTGGATCTGTGCCATTAGTGTATGCGAGAAACCCAACTGAAACATGTTTAAAAGTATGTCTATAACTAAATGTCTAACCAAAAAGTCCAAATTATTCAAGTCATTTCACTCATGTGCTTCATTGTTTTTGCAGTACATGCCCACACAGCCTTGTTACCACACACACTTTTCGGTACAGTAGAAAAATATAGTGATCACTACGTAATAGAATCCATTAAATCCATATATATATATATCTTTTCAATACAAAAAATAACTGCTATGTGAGCGAGCAATTAAGACAAGCACAAAATTAGAAGCCTACAGCCTAGAGTTTGCCACATTCACTTTAGGCTACAGACTGGAATATATTGACCACAAAAATATCATCGTCATAGTGTGCCATGGTGAACACTGTAGCAGCAGTCGTGGTTTGGACACAAGCGGTTTACAGAAGAGAGGAGCCGGCTTCACACGCGCCGCTCCGGTCAAGTCCCCAACACTTAACAATGACACCGGTGAAACGTATGAGACTGGTCAAACATATGGGAATGCCTGGTAAAAGGTTTGCCAAAGTGCGTCATGCGTCACGAGGATGGACCTGTCCTAATGGCGCGTTTAGAGGGGGGCCAAAGTGACAGTTTCCATGGAGACGAGGCTCCGGGTCTCGATTTTTTCGGGAGAGCAGCTGTTCGCATGGAGCGTGACTGTAGCTGTTGCATAGACATTACAAAGAAAAGTACAGAGGCAGAGACCGGAGGGCACCTGTGTGAAAGCGGCTCCGGAGCGGTTTCTGAGCGGCTCGGGGCACATCCACATGCGGCTCTACACATGCAGCACGGCCGAGTGGAGCACATTGTTCCTGTACTCCTCCAACCAGTTTCTCAGCTCGGAAATGCGGTATCCCTCCGGGCCCCTGCCACCCTGGTACACCACCTGCTCGTCCCTCACGATATAGAGTCTCTCGAAGTAGGCTCCGTACGCCGCGTTGGACGAGTTGTCCATGTTATCCACGACGATGTTACTGCCGGGCACCTCGGACAGCATCATCTGCGCCGCTCGCAGCCGGTCCTCCAGGCACCGGTGCTTGGGGATCTGGTACGGTGCGTCCGTGCTCACCCAGCCGTCGGACGGGTGCGCCTCCTCGATATACACCACCAGAAAGTCCGCAATGTCCGCGTACTGGCGCACAATCTTCTGGAAGGCAGCCAGCCGCATCATGAACGGTGGTCAGGAGCAGCTGCCGAAGTTAAGGATAAGCGGTCTCTTCCCTTTCATACAGTCCAGCAGCCGCACCGGCCTGCGCTCGTGCACCAGCACCACTTCGGTGTTCGGTGCAGTTCGTCCAAGGTGCGCGGATTTCAGAAAGTCCAGTTTCTGTCCGTACCAAACCGCCCGCAGCGACTCCACCGTAAACATCTTATTCTCGTCCGACACGCACACGGGCGGGTCATCAGCGCCGTCCTGCTCCTGGCCCATCTTCAGCAGCATTTTCCTCCGGATGCACAGGAAGTCCAGCAGCCACAGCATCACAGCGGCCAGCAGAAAGCGCGGCAACAGCATCAGGCACAGTGCCGCGTGCTTCAACGCTCGCGCCATTTGGACCCCACCGGAGATCTGGACCCCACCAGAGATCTGGACCCCCCCGGAGTCATGCATCATCCCGAGGAGGCGCCCGGAGCCGTGTCAGGCGGACATGCGCTGCAGCGGACACTTGTCACCTCTCTGTGAGAGAAACTCCAGTGTGAGGCTCGGACACTCTTTTTATAGCAGGTAGAGCCGCGTCTGAATCATGAAAAAAGGAAAAAGAGGGGAAAAGCAAAAACACGCCTCTGTACCAACGCCGCCCCCTCACATGGTGGGGATTACCTCCTGTCAACTCTGCACCGCGACCAAGGGACAGACGTGGACCGGTTCAGTGCGAGCATTGCCCGCGCAGAGTCACGCCGCCTCTGGAGCGCGGCTGTGCGGTTCTGTGAATGAGAGACAGGGCTAAGGACTTGACACTGCTGTCAACTCACTCTGCATTTTATACTGCAGCGGCGTGCAGCGGCACTAGGCGGCGTTGTGTCCCACGCAACCCGGATGACTCACGTTCAGACCGGCACACATCAGAGCGAGTGGCCGTGACAGAGAACTCTAGAACTGGAGAGAGGACGTGAGACACCTGCGCTCGAAGAACCAGAGCTACCACAAGAGCAGAGGGTCAGTGACAGAGGAGGCACTGTAACTGAAAACACGCGCAGCTCCCAACAGCCCCTTTTCACTGCCGTTTCACTTCAGGTCACTCTTTCACAGAAACATATTCAATTAAATCCATTCTAATAATAGTTTCTACAAATAGACCCACATGTTGACGTCCTTCAGTGAATAAAAGATACATGTGTTCCTAAAAAGAAGTAAGTTTGACCTTGAACCTGTTGTCACTTTGTTTAGTATTGAAATACCGGCGGACAGGAGATGTACCTTCTTCTGATGTCAAAACACTGTCCCACGTGTCCCTATAGCTCCACACTTACCTCAGAGCATTTTCAGTCAGCATAATGTTAAACCACAGGAGATTTTAAGATGCTAAGTACTAAAGTTAGTGTTCGTTATAAAACTATTCTGATAGAGAGTTAAATATGTTTATAAGCAGCAGCTTATCTGCTCTGTTATCTGTCCCATGGCCTTTTTGATTAAGGTACTTTTTTAAAATATTGTTTTTAACTAATGCTATCTGGGACAAACTGATAATCATGCTTTAGGGATTTACTGAAGTTCAAATTAAAGCTCCAATATGTAACATTTTTGTCAAAAAAATAAACTATAATAAAAGTATGTTTTTTCATTATGGAAAAAAACAAACCAAAAACAGGCTTGCATCCCCACAAACCTTATTTGGCAAGAAGGAGAGTCTCTTATCATTTATGAGTCCAAAACAAAAATTGAAAACAGGACATTTTAAGATTACAAGTAAATACAAATTCAGACTGACACTTGCTCTTTGAAAAATATTTCAAACAGGGGTGTAAAATTAGCCGTGTGGTCTTTCAAAGGTTTTTGGCACGTTTTTAAGCGTTTTAACTTCTTCCAGTGAAAATGTGAGTTCTGTGAAGTCGTAAACAGAGATTAGATTAGAATTAAGTTGTTTGTGCATAAAACAGATTACTTCGAATAGAGTACTACTCAGAAATCAGGCTGCTCCAGTGCCTGCTCATGTGAGGAGCCCAAACAAGTCAAAGACTGTACTGATAGAAAACATATTGGTGCAAACTATAGCCACACATGACTGCTACTAATTAAAGGAGAGCGTAGGATTGTTATACTGCTTTTGGAGGCACTCTAAAGACTTTCAAATGCATTATTCATTCACTCCTGTTGATTGTAACTCATAAATGCCACAGCTGCCCTGGGACAGACTGACAGAAGCATGGCTGCCACTGGCTCTCCGGACCGTTTCCATTGTCACTCACACACACACTGATACAAAGTAAGACAGGTGCAGTAGTGGGTGGATCAATACCAAATATCAATATATCAATACTGACTGAGGTATCATAAAGTATTGATTCTTATGATTATGATTCTTCACATTTCTCCCCCCAAAAAATGCAGTTTTTAAATAAAACTATAATTCATTTAAAAATACAAAATCCCTGTATATATTTTTGTTTATTGGCACTTCATTTTTAGATTAGTACAAACTGGGGTGGAGCAAACACAACGTCACCATAGTTGATGAGATAAGATGAGATAAGGTTTTATTGTCTGGCAATTGGTTTATACAGTGCTTTTCCACGTCTGAGTTCTTCACATGTCTACACACACACACACACACACACGCAGACGCACACACACACACACACACACACGCACACACACACACACACGCACACACACACAGACGCACACACACACACACACAACACACACGCAGACGCACACACACACACACACACACACACACAGACACACACACACACACACACACTCACACACACTCGCACACACACACGCAGACACACACACACACACGCACACACACACACACACACACGCACATACACACACGCACATACACACACACACACACACGCACATACACACCCACACACACACACACGCAGACACACACACACATACGCACACACACACACACAGACGCACACACACACACACACACGCACACATACACACACAGACGCACACACACACGCACACACACACAGACGCACACACACAGACGCACACACACACACACGCACATACACACACACACACACACACACACACGCACACACACACAGACGCACACACACAGACGCACACACACACACACGCACATACACACACACACACACACACACACGCACACACACACACACACACACGCACACACACACACACACACACACACCACACACACACAGACGCACACACACACACACTCGCACACACACACACGCACACACACACACACACACACACACACACACACACACACACACACACAACACGCACACACACACACACACACACACATACACACACACACACACACACACACACACGCACACACACACACACACACACACACACACACACACACACACACGCACACACACACACACACGCACACACACACATACACACACTCTTACACCAGTGTACACAGACACTAGGGGCAGGGTTCAGTGTCTTGCACAAGGACGTAACGACAGTATTCATCTATGAGAGCTGGAATCACACCGTCTGTGGGTCAGTGGATCTGACCGCTCTAGCAATGGGATTTGAACCTTGAACTTTTGGATCAGTGGACAAACACTCGTCCTCTCATCTGAAGGTTGGCTTGACATAAAAACATCATTGGTTGAGTGGTCAGATCCACTGGCAAACTGGTTGATGGTGTGAGTCCAGCTCCCGCAGATGAATGCTGCCATTGTGTTCTTTGGCAAGACACTTAACCCGCCACAACCCCGGTGTGTGTGTACACTGGTGTGTGAATGCGTGAATGGTTCCTTGATGTAAAATACAGCAATTTTACCATTTAAAAGACGAAGATGTAACACATATTCACATCCAAGCTGAAAAAAAAAAAACCCCAAAAAAACTACAAAAACAAAACAAAAACTGAAGCACTCATAAAGTCTAAATGATTTAAAAGCCTTTCTTAGCACATGGCAAATTAAGATAAAGTGACACCAGTATGTATCGGCCTTCAGAGCAAACTTACACTATCCCTCTATGGTCTTTAACAGCTCTGATGCACTGTCCAATATGATCTAAAGGTGCAGGTAAAATTGTGCTATTCCCTATATGTCCTTGAGTAAAATCTGTACATCCACATGCAAAAAAAACCCCTGCACTTCATGTTGCACTTACATACAAACTACTTTGGTATCGGTATTGTATCGATATCTCAATATATGCCATTAATTGGTTTCTGAAAAATAGCTTCAGAGTTTAACCTAGACCCTCTTTAGTGCTGGTTCAGACTGTTCTCTGGTGTAACCCTGGTTTTGTCTTGGTTTATTTTTAATTTAGTCGTGGTTCTTATCCTGGTTTATAAAGTCTTGGTTTAGTCTTAGTTTATTCCTGATTTATTCCTCTTTTAGTCCTGCTTTACTCCTCTTTTAGACTCTTGATTTAGTGCCTGTTTATTTCTGGTTTATTCTGGTCTAGTCCTGATTTAGTCCTGGTTTAGATCAGGCTCAGGTTCATTTGAGTCCAGCTGGTTCTTGGAAGTCTTTGGTGGTGCAGAGCTCAAGTCGTTACAAGCAAAACATGTGACTGAAACAGGTTTTGAGTCTAAGCCTGAGTTATTCTCTGGGATATACTCTGAATTGCATATGTGGATAATGAGGACGTGTACAGTTATATATGAACCTGGACTAAGGACACACAAGTGGGTTAAAAGCTTTGGAATGCACCAAGAAATAAGACCACAGAAAGGGTCAGAATTTAAACATGCCATACGTCGTTCACTTTTTAAAATTATATCATGACTAGAGTGGCAGCTGTCAGTTTCACTTCAACCAAAACATGCACATTAGGTCAACTCCTCGGGCTAAAGTATTCCTGATCAGACTGTATAAATAAATATGTGGGTGAGAAGTGAGTGTGACGTCATAACATTTGGTTCCAGTCAAATGAAGCTCAGCGAGGCTTACAGTTATAGAGGTGAATTTGGAGCCAAGTTTCATATTTGGAATTCCGACCGCAATAATCACAGCGACTACAGAGCCAATCCGGAGTGAGGCTGTTGAAGATAATATCCGTTTCTACCCGCACCGCTGGTTTGGCAGAGATCGCGTGCTTAGCGACGCTGTCAATCAAACCTGTTGTTAACGCAGGAGGGAGCAACTTCAGGGAAAGAAGGCACATGATTTGTCTGTGATTAAGGTTCATATGTTGATTTCTGGACAAAATAGCGAAATAAAAACAGCAGGATTATGTAGAATGGGTTAATACGAACATTTTAAGAGTAAAACGATGAGAGAAGGGTGACAATTTTTCAGTACGAAGTGAATTTGAGCCATACTTAACTGGAGTGGGTACCGGGTTAGCAATGTCCATTTATATACAGCCGATGATCCTGACCAAGCTTACATCGAGATTTAAGGTTGGGTCTCATGGGGTAGTAGCAGTTAACACCCCATCAAAGTGTAATACCACAACTTTAACCTAAACTCCACAGACACTGGTTAAATTCAAAAAAATGGAAAGGTCAGACTTCATACATATCAAACCTGCGTGAAGTCTCCCATGTCCACAAACCTGTTTCACCACTCTCCTTGCGGATGCTAATACCTGTAGCGTGGCTCTGTTGTTTACGTGTGTTTAGGACAGACTCAGAGCCAGGGTGGTGCTGTTGGCAAGAATCAGATTTTCCCAGAATAATTAGGCCTTCTGAGATCGGCTCAGGTTCAGCCTCCTTTGACCCAGTGTTAGAAAGGGTCAAGCGTACAGGAATATCACGTCCTCTAAGCTTATTAACTCAAGTACGAAACGTGTTAACATCCA